GAATTGGGCAAATGTGCCTAAGAAGCCACCAAAGGAGAAAAGTGGCTGGGCAGTCTCTGAGCCCCACCCCTGTGCTCCCTGAGCAGTTCTGCTTTTATCTATCCTGTTTACTGCTATTCCGTTTAAAACTTCATTTGAATAAAGACTTTTGGTGCCATATATGCGTGCCCACACACTTTCACACATATATCTTTTTGCTAGGCCTTTTCTTTCTTTAGAGCTTACCTTATTTTTCTGCTAGAAAACATGCAAAACACAAGGGTCATGTTTGGCTTAATTTATCTCCTGTGAGTTCAAAGACAGTTGGTGTGCCCTGGCTGAGAGGAGAAAAAGGAGAGAGTACCTGGAGAAGGCTACAGCTCCTGGAGAATGACTAGCTTCTATAGATAATTTTGTACATCACCATTACAAGCACGACACCTTTTTAAGCCTTCTGAATCTCTGTAACTGACTTTTCTTCTACAAGTTGAGTCTTAAAACAACACTTGCCAATGCCTTCTCCAGATTTGTCAAGGATGCCCATCCCTGTGTGGCAATAACCTGGTTACACCCTGACATATTTGTTCTTTGAAGCTCAGGTGTGAGATGGACTTCAAAAGGAGTGTCTTGTCATCTACAGACAGTCAAATTACTTTTGAGGACAAGAAAAGGGAGTAATGCTACATCATGATCTATAAATTACTGCTCATAGCTGGCAGTCCTTTGGTGATAAATGGGAGAGGATACTGATGTACAGTCAAGGTCGGATTGGAGAACTGCATGGGAGATAACATAGCCACTGCAGTAATCACAGGATGTAGCAGTGTTTCCTGAGAGACTTCTCACTCTTCCCTCTTGGGACAAGAAAGCCTATCTAGTCGGGCTACGGTGTCATCCAGTCTTGGTGGCTTCTCACCTATCCACATCCATCTGAGCTCAAAGAAGATGAAACTTAAACAAGAGAGAGTCACAGCTTTCATGGTGAAATCAAGAGTCTGCAGCATAAGGAGACCACTTCTTGTACATCCTCCTGGGACCTACCTGTCCCTCAACCGCTGAGTGAGTCAAGCTTGTGATGGTTCCTATGTAGCTGACAGACCTGGGCCAGTCTCTTAACTGCTTTGGGGCTCAGACTCCAAATCTGAAAAACCAGGAATATTGGCTAGGTGTTTTCTAAGGAACATAATAATAACTAATATTTATATTTTATTTTAAACTTTATAAAACTTTTCCACACAGTTACTCATGTGCTCCTCATTTAGTTGTAAAGTAGAAACCATCCCCATGGCACAGATGAAAAAACTAAGACTCAAAGATGCTAAACAACTTTCACCAAGTGTCTCTGTGAATGCCTTCAGGTTCCCAACATTCCATTATTTATTTCCATTACATCATACTCTTAGCTCTAAGATTTCATAATTCAGTGTTTTTCTTCTGGATATATATATATATATATAAATATATATATATATATATATGTTTCTTCTGGAGATACATAAATATATATATCTCCATCCAAAGTACAGCAACTTCAAAGACTGAAGGAACATCAGCCCACACAGATGAGAAAGAACCAACTCAAGAACTCTGGCAACTCAGAAAGCCAGAATGCCTTCTTACCTCCAAACAACCACACTAGTTACCCAGCAACGGCTCTTAACCAGACCAAATTGGATGAAATGACAGAAAGAAATAGAATTCATACATATACGCAGTTATATATATATATATGTATATAATTATAGCTATATATAAATATATATATTTAATGACAGTTACAATAATCAGTCATAATACAGCCTTATGGGCTGGGCGCGGGGGCTCAGGCCTGTAATCCCAGCACTTTGGGAGGCCGAGATGGGCGGATCACGAGATCAGGAGATCGAGACCATCCTGGCTAACACGGTGAAACCCCGTCTCTACTAAAAATAAAAAAAAATTAGCCGGGCGTGGTGGCGGGCACCTGCAGTCCCAGCTACTCAGGAGGCTGAGGCAGGAGAGTGGCGTGAACCCGGGAGGCAGAGCTTACAGTGAGCCAAGATCGCACCACTGCACTCCAGCCTGGGCAACAGAGCAAGACTCCATTTCAAAAAAGGAAAAAAAAAAATACTGCCTTATCTTTGGGGCTTAATCCAATGTGATACAGATTGGAAAGCTTGCATCCATGGTAGCTGCATGCTGGTACCATTGTCCCAGATGCCATACTGCCAAATAGTTTGGTACTTTTTATGTAATCTGTGACATATTACGCATAACTTGAATTAGGCCCTAGCAATGATATGGGCTCTTGACAATACATACCCAATGTCTGAAACCTAGATTTTAATTCATATTTAATATAATTTTTTTAACTTTTATTTTAGGTTTGGGGATACATGTGGAGTTTTTTTACATAGATAAACACATGTCATAGGGGTTTGTTGTACATATCATTTCATCACCCAGGTATTAAGCCCAATACCCAATAGTTATCTTTTCCGCTTCTCTCCCTCCTCCCACACTCCACCCTAAAGTAGACCCAGGGACTGTTATTTCCTTCTTTATGTTCATAAGCTCCTATCATTTAGCTCCCACTTACAAGTGAGAACATGCAGTATTTTGTTTTCTGTTCCTGCATTAGTTTGTCTAGGATAAAAGCCTCCAGCTCCATCCATGTTCCCACAAAAGACATAATCTTATTCTTTTTTATGGCTGCATAGTATTCCATGGTATGTTTGTAACACATTTTCTTTTTCTTTTTTTTTTTTTTTTGAGACGGAGTCTCACTCTGTCACCCAGGCTGGAGTGCAGTGGCCAGATCTCAGCTCACTGCAAGCTCCGCCTCCCAGGTTTACGCCATTCTCCTGCCTCAGCCTCCCGAGTAGCTGGGACTACAGGCGCCCGCCACCTCGCCCGGCTAGTTTTTAATGTATTTTTAGTAGAGACAGGGTTTCACCGTGTTTGCCAGGATGGTCTCGATCTCCTGACCTTGTGATCTCCCCGTCTCGGCCTCCCAAAGTGCTGGGATTACAGGCTTGAGCCACCGTGCCCGGCCAACACATTTTCTTTATCCAATCTGTCACTGATGGGCATTTATGTTGATTCCATGTCATTGCTCTTATGAATAGTGCTGCAATTAACGTTTGCATGCATGTGTCTTTATGGCAGAATGATTTATATTCCTCTGGGTATATAACCCGTAATGGGACTGCTGGGTTGAATGGTAGTTCTGGTTTTAGCTCTTTGAGGAATTGCCATACTGCTTTCCACAATGGTTAAACTAATAATTTACTCTCCCACCAACAGTGTATAAGCATACCCTTTTCTGTGCAGCCTTATCAGCATCTATTGTTTTTTGACTTCTTAATAATAGCCATTCTGACTGGTGTGAGATATTATCTCATTGTGTTTTTGATTTGCATTTCTCCAATGATCAATGATATTGAGATTTTTTTCACGTGCCTGTTGGGCACATGTATGTTTTCTTTAGAGAAGTGTTTGTTCATGTCATTTGCCCACTTTTTTATTGGGTTGTTTTTCTCTTGTAAATTTGTTTAAGTTCCTTATAGATTCTGGATGTTAGACCTTTGTCAGATGCATAGTTTGCAGATACTTTTTCCCATTCTGTAGGTTGTCTGTTTACTCTGTTGACTGTTTCTTTTGCTGTGCAGAAGTTCTTAAGTTTAGCTCTTAATCAGGTCCCAATTGTCAATTTTTGCCTTTGTCGTGATTGCTTTTGGTGTCTTTGTCATGAAATCTTGCCCATTCCCATGTCTGGGATGGTATTTTCTAGGTTATCTCTCAGGGTTTTATAAAGTTTTATGTTTTAGATTTAAATATTTCATCCATCTTGAGTTGATTTTTGTATATGGTGTAAGGAAGGGGTCCAGTTTCAATCTTCTGCATATGGATAGCCAGCTAGCCCAGTACCATTTATTGAATACAGGGTCTTTCCCCATTGCTTGTTTATGTCAGCTTTGTTGAAGATCAGATGGTTGTAGATGTATGACCTTATTTCTGGGCTCTCTATCCTGTTCCATTGGTCTATGTGTCTGTTTTTGTATCAGTACCATGGTGTTTTGGTTACTATAGCCTTATAGTATACTTTGAAGGTGAACGACATGATGTCTCCAGCTTTGTTCTTTTTGGTTAGGATTGTCTAGGCTATTTGGGCTCTTTTTTGTTCTATATGAATTTTAAAAATTTTAAAATAGATTTTTCTAGTTTTATAAAGAATGACATTGGTAATTTGATAGGAATAGCACTGAATCTGTAAATTGCTTTGGGCAGTATAGCCATTTTAATGATATTGATTCTTCCTATTTATGAGCATGGGATGTTTTTCCATTTGTTTGTGTCTTTTCTGATTTCTTTGAGCAGTGTTTTGTAATTCTCATTGTAGAGATCTTTCACCTCCTTGAGTAGTTATACTCTAGATTACTAGATATTTTATTCATTTTGTGGTGATTGTGAATGGAATTTCCTTTCTGGTTTGGCTGTTGTTGATGTATAAGAATGCTAATGATTTTTGTATTGTACAACTTTGCTGAAGAGTTTATCAGCTTGAGGAGCTTTTGGGCTAAGACCATGGGGTTTTCTAGATATATAATCATGTAATCTGCAGAGATAGTTTGACATCCTTTCTTCCTATTTGGATGCCATTTATTTATTTCTCTTGCCAGATTGCTTTGGCTAGGAATTCCAATACTATGTTGAATAAGAGTGGTGATAGAGGACATCTTTGTCTTGTGCTGTTTTTCAAGGGGAATACTTCCAGTATTTGCCCATTCAGTATAATGTTTCTGGAGTTTTGAAAAACCATTTGTTGTCCCATAGCCAATGAATGTTTTTGTTTTTGTTTTAAACTCCAGAAATATCCAGATTATATGAAGGCAAATATTAGAATTTTTAAGCACTTTTGCTTATTTCTAAGGCAAAGTAATAATAGAAATGAAATTATATGATACATTTTTTTTACTGAAGATGATGTTCTGGCACTGAGCTTAGTTGCTATTTCCGCTGCTCCATCTTCTCTGTTCTAGGAGTCTCTGAGTGATTCTACTGCAGCCTCTGTCTGTCATCCTGTGACCTGCAGATACTGGGAGGAGATCCATAGAAAAGACTCCAGAACATACGGAGGCTGGGAAATCTGCTGGTTGATTCCACCATGCTGTCATGGCTGCTGGCATGCATGAGTGAACATAGATCCTGATAAAACACTTTGGCTAGAACCACCCATTGGAATGTTGTGGCCAGTACACTAGGAACACTTTGGACCCACCAGTGTAGCAGGTTCCCATCCCTGAGAGATTGGAGAACAAAGCCAGAGGCTGAGTACCAGCCCCCCAGAGTTAGAGCATGCAGATCAGAAATGCTAAGCTGAGCCTTCACCCTATAAAACTTTCCAGATATGAATCTAGTCGACTGAACCCACCTCATGTTACAGCCAAATCCCTAAGGGCATCAAAGAGGATAAAAGCCAAAAAAAAAAAAAAAAAAAAAAAAATCCAAAGTACAGCATCTTCAAAGACTGAGGGATCATCAGCCCACACAGATGAGAAAAAAACCAATGCAAGGACTCCGACAATTCAAAAAGCCAGAGTGTCTTCTTACCTCCAAACAACGATATTAGTTTCCCAGAAATGGTTTTTAACCAGGCTGAAATGACAGGAAGAGGATTCAGAATACAAATAAGAACAAAGATCATTGACAGGAGAAAGTCTAAACTCAATCTAAGGAATCTAAGGAATACAATACAATGCTACAGAAGATGAAAGATGAAATAGCTATTTTAAGAAAGAATCAAATTGATCTGATAAAGCTGAAAAATTCATTTCAAGAATCTCATAATACAATGCACGTATTAACAAAAAAATCAATCAAGCTGAGGAAACAGTCTCAGAGCTTGAAGACTAGTTCTCCAAACTAACTCAGTCAGACAAAAATAAAGAAAAAACAATAAGGAAGAATGAACAAAACCTCTGAGAAATATGGGATTATGTGAAGAGATCAATGTATGACTCATTGGCAACCCTGAAAGAGAGGCAGAGAAGACAAGCAAGTTGAAAAACATATTTGAAGACACTATCTATTAAAGTTTTCCCAAGGCCAGGCGCGGAGGCTCAAGCCTGTAATCCCAGCACTTTGGGAGGCCGAGACAGGCGGATCACATGGTCAGGAGATCGAGACCACCCTGGCTAACATGGTGAAACCCCGTCTCTACTAAAAAATACAAAAAAAAACTAGCCAGGCGAGATGGCGGGCGCCTGTAGTCCCAGCTACTAGGGAGGCTGAGGCAGGAGAATGGTGTGAACCCGGGAGGCGGAGTTTGCAGTGAGCCAAGATTGCGCCACTGCACTCCAGCCTGGGCGACAAAGCGAGACTCCGTCTCAAAAAAAAAAAAAAAAAAAAAAAAAATACAGTTTTCCCAACCTTGCTAGAGAGAAAAACATTTAAATTCAGAAAATGTAGAGAACTCTTGTGAGATACTATATAAGATGATCATCCCCAAGTCACAAAGTAATCAGATTCTCAAAGGATGAAATGAAAGAAAAAATGTTAAAGGCAGCTAAAGAGAAGGGAGGAGACACCTACAAAGGGAATCCCATCAGCGTAATAGCAGACCTTTCAGCAGAAATCCTACTGAAGGGGTGGCCTGCCCCTCCACACCTGTGGGCGTTTCTCGTTAGGTGGAAGAGAGACTTGAGAAAAGAAATGAGACACAGAGACAAAGTATAGAGAAAGAAAAAGTGGGCCCAGGGGACAGGCGCTCAGAGTTCCCTAGTATTTATTGATAATTATCTTTACCATCTTAAAGAAAAGGAAGTGGCAGGATAATAGGATCATTGTAGGGAGAAGGTCAGCAGTAAAACACATGAATAAAGATCTCTGTGACATGAATAAGTTTAAGGAAAAGTGCTGTGCCTTGATATGCATATGTAAATATCTCCATAAACCTTTTCAGTGCATAAAGAGCAGCATTGCGCTAGCAAGTCCTGTCTTTCACCCTAAGGCGGCTTTCTCCTTTCTCAGTAAACAGAACATACAATCGGGTTTTATACCGAGATGTTCCATTGCCCAGGGACGGGCAGGAGACAGATGCTTTTCTCTATCTCAACTGCCAACAACCGCCAAGAGGCCTTCTTTCCTCTTGTACTAGTCCTCCTCAGCACAGACCCTTCACGGGTGTCAGGCTGGGGAACGATCAGGCCTTTTCCTTCCCACGAGGCCATATTTCAGACCATCATATGGGGAGAAACCTTGGACAATACCTAGCTTTCCTAGGCAGAGGTCCCTGTGACCTTTGGCAGTGTGCGTATCCCTGGGTACTTGAGATTAAGAGAATGGTGATGACTTTTAACCAGCAAGCTGCCTTCAGACACTTGTTTAACAAAGCACAGACTGCACAGCCCAAAATCCTTTAAACCTTGAGTCACCATAGCACATGTCTCTTGCAAGGACAAGGTTGGGGGTAGGGTCACAGATTAACAGCATCTCAAATACAGAACAAAATGGACTCTCTTATGTCTACTTCTTTCTATATAGACACAGTAATAGTCTGATCTTTCTTTCTTTTCCCTACACCCTATAAGCCATAAGACATTGGGGCTATATTTGGCATCTGTAAAGAAAAGAAATTTCAACCAGTAATTTCATATCTAGCTAAACTAAACTTCATGAGCAAAGGAGAAATAAGACCACTTTCAGAGAACCAAATGCTAAGGGAATTCATTACCACTAGTCCTGCCTTACAAGGGGCACTTATAGGAGTGCTAAATATGGAAATGAAAGACTGTTACCAGCCCAACACAAAAACACATTTAAGCACAGAGACCATCAACATTATAAAGCAACCACACAAACGAGTCTGCATAACCAGCTAACAACATGACAACAGGATCATATCTTCACATATCAATATTAACCTTGGAAGTAAACAGACAAAATGCCTCAATTAAAAGGCACAGAGCAGCAAGTTGGATAAAGAAGCAAGATCCAACTGTATGTAGTCTTCAAGAGGACCATCTGACATGCAATGATACCCACAGACTCAAAGTAAAGAAGTGGAGAAAAATCTATCAAGCAAACAGAAAACGGAAAAAAGTAGGAGTTACTATTCTAATTTCAGGCAAAACAGACTTTAAGCCAACAAAGATCAAAAACAACAAAGAGGGTTAGATAACGGTAAAGGGTTCAATTCAACAAGAAGACATAGCTATCCTAAATAAATACGCACCCAACACAGGAGCGCCCAGATTCATATAGCAAGTTCTTAGAGACCCACAAAGAGACTTAGACAAACACACAATATTAGTGGGAGACTTCAACACCCCACTGACAGATCACTGAGATAGAAAACTAACAAAGATATTTGGGACCTGAACCTGACACTTGACCAAATGGGCCTAAACAACATCTACAGAACTCTCCACACAAAACCAAAAGAATATACATTTGTCTCATCTGCACATGGCACATACTCTAAAATTAACCACACAGTTGTTCATAAAACAACCCTCAGCAAATTTAAAAAGACCAAAATCTTGCCAAACACACTCTCAGACCACAGTGAAATAAAAATAGAAATCAGTATGAAGAAAATCACTCAAAATCACACAACTACATGGAAATTAAACAACCTGCTCCTGAATGACTTTTGGGTAAATTATGAAATTAAGGCGTAAATCAAGTAATGCTTTGAAGCTAATGAAAACAAAGATACATTATACTAGAATCTCTGGGAAACAGCTAAAGCAGTATTAAGAGGAAAGCTTATAGCACTAAATGCCCACATCAAAAAGGTAGAAAGACCACAAATCAACAACCTAACATCATACCTGAAGGAATTAGAAAAACAAGAGCGAAGTAACCCCAAAGCTAGCAGAAGACAAGGAATAACCAAAATCAGAGTTGAACTGAAGGAAATTAAGATGCAAAAAAACCATACAAAAGATCAACAAATCAAAAGGCTGGTTATTTGAAAGGATAAATAAGATTGACAGACTGCTTGCTAGACTGATAGATAAAAAAAGAGAGAAGATACAAATAAACACAATCAGGAATGACAAAAGGGACATTACCAATGACTCCACAGAAATACACAAACTCTCAGAGACTACTATGAACAGTTCTATGCACACAAACTAGAAAACCTAGAAGAAATTGATAAATTCTTGGAAACATACACCCTCCCATATTTGAACCAGGAGGCAGTTGAATGCCTGGGCAGACCAATAAGAGGTTCCAAAATTAAATCAGTAATAAAAATCCTATCAACCAGAAAAAGCACAAGACCAGATGAATTTATGGCCAAATTCTACCAGATGTATAAAGAAGAGCTGGTACCATTCCTACTGAAACCATTCCAAAAAATTCAGGAGGAGGGTCTCCAATCTAACTACTTGTATGAGACCAGCATCATCCTAATACCAACACCTGGCAGAAACAAAAACCAAAAAAGAAAATTGCAGGCCAATATCCCTAATTAACAGAGACACAAAAATCTTCTACAAAATGCTAGCAAACTCAATGCAGTAGAACATCAAAGAGCTAATCCACCTGATTAAATAGGCTTTAACCCTTGGTTGCAAGGTTAGTTCAACATACACAAATCAATAAATGCAGTTCATCACATAAATAGAACTGAAAACAAAAACCACAGAATTACCTCAATAGATACAGAAAAGGCTATTGATAAAATTCAACATCCCTTCATGTTACAAACCCTCAATAAGCTAGGCATTGAAGGGACATACCTAAAAATAATAAGAGCCGTCTATGACAAACCCACAACCAACATCATACTGAATGGGCAAAAGCTGGAAGCATTCCCCTTGAGAACTTCAACAAGACAAGGATGCCCACTCTCATCACTCCTATTCAAATAGTACTGGAAGTCCCAGCCAGAGCCATTAGGCAAGAGAAAAAAATAAAAGCCATCCAAATAGGAAGAGAGGAAGTCAAACTATCCTTTTTTGCCAACAATATGCTTCTATACCTAGAAAACCCCATAGTCTCTTCTCAAAAGCTCCTAGATCTGATAAGCAACTTCAGTAAAGTTTCAACATATATAAAACCAAAGTACAAAAATCAGTATCATTTATATACATCAACAACTTCCAAGCTAAGAACCAAATCAAGAATGCAACCCTATTCACAAACACCACAAAATGAATAAAGTACCTAGGAATACAGTTAACTAGGGAGGTGAAAGATCTCTGCAATAAGAATTACAAAACATTGCTCAAAGAAATTAGAGATGACGGAAACAAATGGGAAACATTCCATGCTCATAAACTGGAAGAGTCAATATTGTTAAAATGACCATACTGCCCAAAGCAATTTGCAGATTCTATGCTATTCCTATCAAACCACCAACACTATTTTTCACAAGACTAGAAAAAAAAACTATTTTAAAATTCATATGGAGCTAAAAACAAGCCCAAATAGCCAAGATAATACTAAGCAAAAAGAACAAAGCTGGAAGCATCATGTCACCTGACTTTGAACTACACAACAAGGCTATCATGACCAAAACAGCATGGTACTGATACAAACACAGACACATAGACCAATGGAACCGAATAGAGAGCCCGGAAATATTGCTGCACACCTATAACCATCTGATCTTCAACAAAACTGACAAAAACAAGCAATATGGAAAGGACTCCATATTCAATAAATGGTACTGAGCTAACTGGCTATCCATGTGCAGAAGATTGAAACTGGACCCCTTCCTTATACCATATACCAAAATCAACTCAAGATGGATTAAATTTTATTTTACTTTATTTTATTTTATTTTTTTGAGACAGAGTCTCGCTCTGTTGCCCAGGCTGGAGTGCAATGGCCGGATCTCAGCTCACTGCAAGCTCTGCCTCCCGGGTTTATGCCATTCTCCTGCCTCAGCCTCCTGAGTAGCTGGGACTACAGGCACCCGCCACCTCGCCCGGCTAGTTTTTTTATGTTTTTTTTAGTAGAGACGGGGTTTCACTGTGTTAGCCAGGATGGTCTCGATCTCCTGACCTCGTGATCCGCCCATCTCGGCCTCCCAAAGTGCTGGGATTACAGGCTTGAGCCACCGTGCCTGGCCTGGATTAAATTTTAAATCTGAAACCTAAAATTTTAAAAACCCTGGGAAATAACCTAAGAAATATCATTCTGGACAAAGGCCCTGGTAAAGACTTCATGATGAAGATGTCATAAGCAATTGTGACAAAAACAAAAATTGATAAATAAGACCTAATTAAACCAAAGAGCTTCTGAACAGAAAGGGAAACTATCAACAGAGTAAACAGACAACCTAGAGCATGGGAGGAAATATCTGCAAACTATGTATCTGACGAAGGTCTAATATTCAAATCTATAAGAAAGTTAAACTAATTAACAAGCAAAAACTAGAACATGAACAGACATTTGTCAAAAGAAGTCACACATGTAGCCAACAGGCATATGAAAAAATACCCAGCATCACTAATTATTAGAGTAATGCAAGTCAAAACCACAGTGAGGCCGGGCGCCGGTGGCTCACGCCTGTAATCCCTGCACTTTGGGAGGCCGAGGCGGGCGGATCACGAGGTCAGGAGATCGAGACCATCCTGGCTAACACGGTGAAACCCCGTCTCTACTAAAATACAAAAAATTAGCCGGGCGCGGTGGCGGGCGCCTGTAGTCCCAGCTACTCGGGAGGCTGAGGCAGGAGAATGGCACGAACCCGGGAGCGGAGCTTGCAGTGAGCCGAGATGGTGCCACTGCACTCCAGCCTGGGCGACAGAGTGAAGACTCTGCCTCAAAAAAAAAATAAAATAAAATAAAAAAAAACCACAGCGAGATACCATCTCACACCAGTCAAAATGCCTATTATTAAAAAGCCAAAAAATAACAGGTATTGGCAAGGTTTCAGAGTAAAGAGAATGCTTACACACTGTTGGTGGGAATGTAAATTAGTTTAGCCAGTGTGGAATACAGTTTGCAAATTTCTCAAAGAACATAAAACAGAACTGCCTTTTGTCCCAGCAATCCCATTACTGGGTACATATCTAAAGAAACATAAATTGTTCCATCATAAAGATACATACATATGTATGTTCATCATAACACTCTTTACAATAACAAAGACATGAAATCAATCTAAATGACCATCAATGGATAAAAAAAATGTGGTACATATATGCCATGGAATACTTACTATTCAGTCATAAGAAAGAATGAGATGATGTTCTTTGCAGCAACATGGATGCAGGTAGAAGGCCTTATCCTAAAAAATTTAATGCAGGAACAGAAAACCAAGTATCACATATTCTCACTTATGCATGGGAGCTCAACACTGAGTACATATGGGCACGAAGAAGGGAACAACAGACACTAGGGCCTACTTGAGGGTGGAACAGGGAAGGAGGGAGAGGATCAACAAACTACCTATTGGTCACTACACTTATCACCTGGGTGATGAAATAATCTGTACACCAAAACCGTGTCACACGCAATTTACCTATATAATAAACCTGCAAATGTACATTTGAACCTAAAATGAAAGTTAAGAATGATGTTCTATTGCATTTTCTTCAAAACTTTACTCTTAGAGCCCATAAACAAAATCCAATGTACTACTAATTAACTTTAATCTCTCATTTGAAGTTTCCAATCTTATAATTCTCACAAAATCTATGCCTCCTAAACTCTAATATCCTTATGTACTTAAATAACTCTGAAATAAACTTGGAAGTTCTATCTGTATTCTCATATTTCAACAGTGATTATCTTCCAATAATAAAACAGTTAGAACTACTCACTTAGAAGGCTTTTGAAAAAGGTCTAAATGGGAACTCAATTCACAATATCCATAAGAGGTTTTGTCTATTCAGAATGTATTTTGGCCAGTACGACTACATAATAGTGGAGTACTCATAATTTGTATTCCCACTATTCGTCTGGCCAAGTTCAAGTTTCCTAAACTCTCAGGTTCTATTATCATCTATAATGGTGATTAATATACCCTGTATTGAGAAGATCAAGCCATGAGTCTGAGCTTCTGCTAAATGCCTTTTCTAATTTAGTTTTTTCAAAGTTTTTGAGCATTCTTTTGAGTCATTCAATAACATGGAGTTCCCTGACATTGTCTTATTCTCCATTTGTTTTTGTTCTTGTCTCTGCAAATGAATTCTAAATATTTGATGGTCAGAAACAGAATTAATTCTCAATAAAATCTTATAGGTATGGGTATAAGTGGGCATGTTGTTCTCTACCAAACCCCTAATCCCAGGAAACAGCCACCTCTAGTTGTCTGGCACTTTGAACAACTCTTCCCAGTGAAATGATGGAAAGAGGCACATTTAAGGAAAAATGTTCTCCATTAAAATGGTCATCTATTCTGCTGTGAACAATTTGTCTTGAGATAGTCTTCCTGATATTCCTAAGATTCCCCCTTATTTATCACTTCTGCCTCTGCAGACGTTCAGTCTACCTATCTCTTTTTTCCCCTTACTCTCTCTGCCTGTCCCAAAATTCTGGTTCCCCTAACTTTCAGGCCTCACATTACCTGAAACTATTGAAACATTTATAGAACACCTCTTACGTGCCAGACCCAATACCAGGCACTAAAAATACAGTCATGAGCAAGATCACCTAACATACACAGAGTAACACAGAACCTACAGAGCTTTGAGTCTAGTGGGGAAAAACAATGAAAAACAAGGAATGACAGAGGGTGGAGGGATGCCTGTGGGCAATGGGAGCAGAGAGCAGGAGTAACTGGCCCTGCCTGGAGGGCTTTCTAGTGCTATGATGGAGGATGAGTAAGGAATTAGGTGAACAGGTGAGAGGATATTCTAGAGAGAACGCGTGAGACAGAACTAGCTTGATTTGTTTAAGCAACTCAAAGGAATTCCACATCCAGTGTTATCCAGTGTGAGGAGATCTCCCGGGTGGGGCCAGGGAAGAAATAGCCAGCTGAGAGTTTTAAGCTGGGGAGTCATGTGATTAAATTTGCATTTTTAGAAGGCTCTCCTCCCTTCTTCCTGAGGACAGAGTGAAGAAACATCCAAGCTGGTCTTGAAGGAGACTGGCATCTTGTAACACAGGTAAGAGATAAGGACTAATGTAACGTCTATGGGGTTGGAAACAGGTGGTCTGGTTTGAGAAATATTTAGGCAAAAGCATAGTTGACAGGACTTGGTGGTTGATAATAGGTGGTGGTGTGGGAGAGAGAGTAGCTTAAGAAGATACCTGGTTCCTCATGAACGTGGCTGAAAGGCCAGTCAGGTTTTTCCTAGATGGTGGACATGGTGGGAGGAGCAGGCTTGAGTGTGGGGATGCCAAGTTCATCAAACTGAATTTGGATTTGGATTCGAGGTGCCTGGGAGAGAGTGGAGCTCAAATGAGAGATCATGGCATTCATATAGATTTGTGAATCTTTGGAGCAGACAGATAGTAATTAGAGTCATCAGAATGGGTGAGATAACTAGGAAATAGGAGTTCAGCCAGAAGCCTCTCCTCAGCCCCACCACTTCAGGGATCTGTCAGCATGGCAGCAGCCCTGAGTGAGGGGCAGAAAGTTTTTAATAGCATTCCCTAAAGTGTAGTCACACTGAAAAAATTGTTCCCTAAGAGAAACCACACACACACACACACACACACACACACACACACACACACACGGAGTTGATGCTCAGATAAGTTTGGGGAAATCTGTATATTATTTTCCCTGCTTAGAGAATATTAAGGACTGACAAGCTCTGCAGTAAATACCTTTTTACCTTCATTTAACTCAGTTTTCTCCACAAGACAGCCCTGGCTGGAGATTACTCTGGAGCTGAATGTCTCAGGGTGAAGGAAGCAGGAGACAGCTAGCTTTCCCGGAGGCATGCTTCCAAGTCAGCATCACAAAGAGTGTCATCTATCTGTTCATTTATAAGATGAAAACACTGGCGCTCAGTGATTGCTTCCAAGTTTCACAGTTAGCTAGTGACACATTTGGGTTGTCACCTACTCCTTTGACCCAGTCTAAGAAAATTCCAGTGATGCAGCATAGTGAAAGTAGAAACACATTTTTCAAAATACATTGATCACAGTGTTTCTCAAAAGGCATTCTCTGTGACCTGGAATTTGAATCCTAGCTCTGACATGTCTTAGTTGTATGAGCTTGGGCAAATTTTCTAACCTCTTTGAGCCCCTGTTTTCGTGTATATAAATAAGGATGTAACAGTAACTAGTAGGATTATTATTAGATGCTACCATTAATAAACTGAGGCTGACAGATTGAGACTTGCTCAAGATCTCACGGCTAAAAGAGATAAAGCTGGAACTGAAACTCAGATCTTTGGCTCCAAATGTGGTGTTTCCTGTACTAACCAAATCATTTCTACCAGTGCCCCTGGGATTATGCCTTGGGGACTCACCTTAAGACAATCTTGCTCTTGAGACAGAGAAGTCTGCAAATGGTGTCCAATTAACTGAAGTCTAGAGACTGGCTGAAGCCAGACAGGGTGTGTGAGGAGGGAGCAGAGAATCTTCAGAAAGACATTCCAAAGTCTCAGGCCTAGAAAATGTTTAGAAATATTGTTTCTTGTGTTCCCCTCCAGTCTGTCTACCTGAATAGGAAACTGGTGGTGGGGCCAGGCATGCTTATTTTTGAACAAATAAACAGTTAATTCTGAGATGCCACCTTGATTGAGAAGCACTGTCCTTTTCTAAGCAAAAATCATCGCCAAAATTACCCTAGAATCCACCACTGCTCAGAGATCTGTGCCTGAACCAACTTGGTTATGAAGTTTTCCTTTGTTTCACCAAACTAGTTTAGGGTGGGCTGTGGGAGGAAGTTTCTAAAAAGCCACTGGGGAAGGACTGAGTCTCTGAGGCGAAAGAGGGCGGACTCAGCCTCACTTCCTCCTTCTTCTCATCTGGGCTTCCTGTCGTCACAGCACGATCATATTTTTTCACCCTTTACTTCTCCTTTTACACAAATAGCCCCGGATACCCGTGTTACCAGCCTTGTCTCAGCCACCTCAAGGATAATCACTAAATTCTGCCTAAAGGACTGAGGAACGGTGTCTGGAAAAGGTAAGGTTGATGACATTTTAACCTGGTTTGCTGTCTAATGTGGGGTAGGGTGTATTCTTAGGGGTCTCCATATACCTCGTTAGTAACCATAAAATCTCCTGCAACTTCTCTTTCGCAAATATTTAGTGCACAAAGTAAGACAGATTAACAAGATACTAGTAACATCCCCACAGGCAATCAGGCCAGAAATGCTTTTACTTAATCAGGTTCCCGGTATCTAAATCTCTGAGTTGAGGCATTCACACGCCTTAATTGCTACAGAGCTTGAATTACTCTGTGTAGTAATTCCTGATGCCTGGAGCTTTCTCTGCAAGATGACAATGGGGAGATTTCCTATGTGCTCTGGTTTTCAGAAAATTGGCCTTGTGATTTTAAAGTGAGGAAAGAACCCACAGCCAGAGCTGTCTTTAGAAAGACAGCTAGAAGACACAGTTCTTTTTCATTTGAGAAATTTTCTAAAGTTAAGTTAGTGACTCTTCAAAGCCACTAAATAAAAAGGTGGCTAAAAATCAAAACACCAGGATATACTCAGTAACTGTATTTTAAAAGGTGAAAGTTAGACACCTCTAAAGGACGTGTAGATTGTTGGCTTTTAAGGAGCAGGAAGCGCATTATGATCCTCGGCATTTCTCCAGATTATCCTTGGTGTACAAAACGTGACCACTGATGCACGTATAAATGCAATCCCCAAAACTTGATACTGCAGTAATTTCCAATCATGTGCTGTAACTAATGACTGAGGTTGCATGAACTCAGCAAAGTGATAGCAGAGCTTTGGTCCTGACTCTCTGTGACCACCATAGGAAACTCTATATAAGAGCTTTCTTCTTCCAAGACCTGTTTGAGAATTTCGCTTGATTACGCCCTAGAGCAGAAAGGAGAAAGTTCTCTTTGACTACACCCACCCATCTAAGAATGAGGGTTGGGAACAGGGCAGAGGGCTCTAGATTTCCAAGAGGGGTGGGGACAGGGGAGAGGGTTCTAGATTCCCAAAACACCTCAGAGCTTATTGAGCCTTGAATTAAAAAATAAAAAGCAGTCGTCTAAAACACTTTTAGAAGACACTGAAAGTGGCTTTTAGAAGAAAAAACACTTAATAATCAAGTGTTAGGTGCCTCCTGAGGCCAGGCACTGTGCTTTGGGAATTGTAGGGGAGGGAGACGAAAAGGTAGAAGGAGAATATTTATCTAGCAAACAGTCCTACTCTTAAGGAACTCCCATGGGAGATAAGAGATATCATACTATGCATATGCTTTGGAAGAAAGCTGAGAAAAAGCAGACTCCTAGCTGCTGGATAAACAAAGAGGTTTTGCTTTCTCAATCTTGAGGAGAATCTGTACTATTTTGAAATTGTGGTTGAATGGGAGCAAAGACTGAATTGAAACATTATTTCCTGTGATGTTTCCTGTGTGAGCCAGTTAAGAACATTTAACTTTTAAATGAAAGGATTGGGTACCTTTACATTCATGAGGAATGATTCTGAGTCCATGCCTTCACAGCTATGGTTACCACCACCTAAGTGACCTCACCTTTGTTCACTGACAAGAGGCACAAACTGGAAAGGATGAAGTCTGTCGGTCCTTCCTTTTTTATGCCCTCTGATTGACCCCTGACTGCACAGAGGCCCTTGGACTGCGGTTCTCCTTTCCCACTCCTACCCCATGGCCAGATATGGCACTTGGTGCTGGAGATACAGGATAACAGAGAAGATTATCATCTGAAAGGAGTTGTACAGTTTATTGTGGACTACAATCACAGCAATATACAAATACAGTGCAATGTGCTCTTTTCTATAATAGATGGAGAACGTGCACAAACTGTAGGAGGAGTTAGGAGTGTGCCAAAGAATCCCTGGAGAGGTGACTGGTGGGTTCACTTTCACAGAAGTATGGGTTTGCTATGGAGACATTCTAGACCAAGGGTGCTGTATATTCAAATTCAAAGAAGTGTGTACCTCCAGGCATGTTAGAAATGAGGGCGAGCAAGTGAGACTGCAGTGTAACACACCATGTTTACAGAGTCACATGAAGTGGAAAGTCCTTTCTCCTACTTGGCACCAGAAAGTGAAGGGCAAGATCGCTGACCAGGCAGGTCCTAGGTCCAGCTCTGGGTGGGGCTATGCCCACCATGTTCACATGACAGAATTGATGGGATGTGGGGTTGAAATGAGGGAGAAGAGGCAGGTTTTTCCCTCCTCAACCTAGATTTTCACTTAGAGCAGAAGGAAGGGTGGAGCTTCTTGTGAGGTTACAGCCATTGTTTTCAGCTTAGTTTCTGTTCCAGGAAGTACTGCACTGATTCAGTTATAGTGGTTTGTTTTGCGTTCCTAGATTAGTCAGCCCAGGGCACTTCTTGTACTGAGCAAGCATCTACTATGTGTAAATCACCCTGGGCCCTAGAGACTGGGCATCTGTCGTCAGGAAGCTCCCAGGACCCATCTGCCACTGCAGGTGCAGGGCACTGAAACAAAGTAACTCAGAGAAACCAGACAGCTGTGCAGAGCAGGACAGCAATGGCTGCTGGGGCAGAGGAGGGAAGGATTGAGGTGGAGGTTGGGTGGCCAGTTTGGGAAGGCTGACTGGAGCTAGGTTCTGGGAAAGAGAAAGACATGCATTTGCAAAGTCAGTGAATGACCACTCAGAGTAAAGGCCAGGAATCTCTATGCTGAGAGTTAGAGGTGAGTGCTCTCTCTTCATTATCCATTTCATAAGCACACAGCAGAATTTCTTTTTTTTTAAAATTATACTTTAAGTTCTAGGGTACATGTGCACAATGTGCAGGTTTGTTACATATGTATACATGTGCCATGTTGGTGTGCTACACCCATTAACTCATCATTTACATTAGGTATATCTCCTAATGCTATCCCTCCCCGCTCTTGCCTCCCCATGACAGGCCCCTGTGTGTCATGTTCCTCTTCCTTTGTCCAAGTGTTCTCATTGTTCAGCTCCCACCTATGAGTGAGAATATGCAGTGTTTGGTTTTCTGTCCTTGTGATAGTTTGCTGAGAATGGTGGTTTCCAGCTTCATCCATGTCCCTACAAAGGACATGAACTCATCCTTTTTTATGGCTGCATATATTACATGGCGTATGTGTGCCACATTGTCTTAATCCAGTCTATCATTGATGGACATTTGGGTTGGTTCCAAGTCTTTGCTATTGTGAATAGTGCTGCAATAAACATACGTGTGCATGTGTCTTTATAGCAGCATGATTTATACTCCTTTGGGTATATACCCAGTAATGGGATGGCTGGGTCAAATGATATTTCTAATTCTAGATCCTTGAGGAATCGCCACACTGTCTTCCACAATGGTTGAACTAGTTTACAGTCCCACCAACAGTGTAAAAGTGTTCCTATTTCTCCACATCCTCTCCAGCACCTGTTGTTTCCTGACTTTTTAATGATTGCCATTCTAACTGGTGTGAGATGGTATCTCATTGTGGTTTTGATTTGCTTTTCTCTGATGGCCAGTGATGATGAGCATTTTTTCATGTGTCCGTTGGCTGTATGCATGTCTTCTTTTGAGAAATGTCTGTTCATATCCTTTGCCCACTTTTTGATGGGGTCATTTTTTTTCTTGTAAATTTGTTTGAGTTCTTTGTAGATTCTGGATATTAGCCCTTTGTCAGATGAGTAGATTGCAAAAATTTTCTCCCATTCCGTAGGTTGCCTGTTCACTCTGATGGTAGTTTCTTTTGCTCTGCAGAAGCTCTTTAGTTTAATTAGATCCCATTTGTCTATTTTGGCTTTTGTTGCCATTGCTTTTGGTGTTTTAGACATGAGGTCCTTGCCCATGCCTATGTGGTATTGCCTAGGTTTTCTTCTAGGGTTTTTATGATTTTAGGGCTAACATTTAAGTGTTTAATCCATCTTGAATTAATTTTTGTATAAGGTGTAAGGAAGGGATCCAGTTTCAGCTTTCTACATATGGCTAGCCAGTTTTCCCAGCACTATTTATTAAATAGGCAATCCTTTCCCCATTTCTTGTTTTTGTCAGGTTTGTCGAAGATCAGATGGTTGTAGATGTGTGGTATTATTTCTGAGGACTCTGTTCTGTTCCATTGGTGTATATCTCTGTTTTGGTACCAGTACCATGCTGTTTTGGTTACTGTAGCCTTGTAGTATAGTTTGAAGTCAGGTTGTGTGATGCCCCCAGCTTTGTTCTTTTGGCTTAGGATTGTCTTGGCAATATGGGCTCCTTTTTGGTTCCATATGAACTTTAAAGTAGTTTTTTCCAATTCTGTAAAGAAAGTCATTGGTAGCTTGATGGGGATGGCATTGAATCTATAAATTACCTTGGGCCATATGGCCATTTTCATGATATTGATTCTTCCTATTCATGAGCATGGAATGTTCTTCCATTTGTTTGTGCCTCTTTTATTTCACTGAGCAGTGGTTTGTAGTTCTCCTTGAAGAGGTCCTTCACATCCCTTGTAAGTTGGATTCCTAGGTATTTTATTCTCTTTGAAGCAATTGAGAATGGGAGTTCACTCATGATTTGGTTCTCTGTTTGTCTGTTATTGGTGTAGAGGACTGCTTGTGATTTTTACACATTGATTTTCTATCCTGAGACTTTGCTGAAGTTGCTTATCAGTTTAAGGAGATTTGGGGCTGAGACAATGGGGTTTTCTAAATATACAATCATGTCATCTGCAAACAGGACAATTTGACTTCCTCTTCTCCTAATTGAATACACTTTATTTCTTTTTCCTACCTGATTGCCCTGGCCAGAACTTCCAACACTCTGTTGAATAGGAGTGGTGAGAGAAGGCATCCCTGTCTTGTGCCAGTTTTCAAAGGGAATGCTTCCAGTTTTTGCCCATTCATTATGATACTGGCTGTGGGTTTGTCATAAATAGCTCTTATTATTTTGAGATGCATTCCATCAATACCGAATTTATTGAGAGTTTTTAGCATGAGGGCTGTTGAATTTTGTCAAAGGCCTTTTCTGCATCTATTGAGATAATCATGTGGTTTTTGTCTTTGGTTCTGTTT